CCATCCTAGCATTAGCACTGCACTGATGAGGCCCAGAAGGCCGAAACAGTACTGTCTGCAGTTAGATATAGCTCTTTGGCATACAAAGCTTTGCTTTCATGTCCAAATTGAGCACTCTAACTAGGATGAGTCATTGCTCTGCAATTGCGCATGCTCGCTAGTGTACTCTAGTTTGAGCACTCTGGCATGGCTTAGACGATACCACAAAGGTTGGGTCGTTTGGGGTGACCGTCTCGGTTCTCCCCCATCCTAGCATTAGCACTGCACTGATGAGGCCCAGAAGGCCGAAACAGTACTGTCTGCAGTTAGATATAGCTCTTTGGCATACAAAGCTTTGCTTTCATGTCCAAATTGAGCACTCTATCTAGGATGAGTCATTGCCGTTGCAATTGCGCATGCTCGCTGGTTTACTCTAGTTTGAGCACTCTGGCATGGCTTAGACGATACCACAAAGGTTGGGTCGTTTGGGGTGACCGTCTCGGTTCTCCCCCATCCTAGCATTAGCACTGCACTGATGAGGCCCAGAAGGCCGAAACAGTACTGTCTGCAGTTAGTTATATATATATATATATATATATATATATAGGAAGTCTGCAAGTCGATTTTCGCGTGGAACAGTGCTCAATACGTTGAAGCAGAGCAGAATAAATATTATGAGAGGAAAAAAGGACGTAACTACATTTCCCGACAAGCCTGTTTCGTGAATCGCTTCACTCTTCAGGGGTTTAATGAAAGAATATTCATGTGACTATCGTTTATATACTAGGAAAATTTGCATAATGCGCGGTAAACTTAAAAACTTTAAAGTTCAGTTGTTGCGTAGCAACGCTTTGTTTCTGTGTCGGCATGAAGATACGAGTTCGTTACGCTTATTTAGTGATGAGAGGTCGGGTCGGTAATGTTATCAGGAATTTTTCTTTTAGGCAGAGGTTGCATCTTTTATTGGAGCTGTTGTAGGGAGAGTTAGATGATAACCTTTCATTAAACCCCTGAAGAGTGAAGCGATTCACGAAACAGGCTTGTCGGGAAATGTAGTTACGTCCTTTTTTCCTCTCGTAATATTTATAACTGCATATATATATATATATATATATATATATGGAGTCTATTACCAATAGACACCATATATATATATATGGTGTCTATTACCAATAGTTACAACCGTGTCAAACAACAGTGAAAGAGAGATCGACTTGAAGTCAACTATACTTACAAAGCCAGATATATAGCGCGAAATTCATATAAAATAATAAGACTTAGAGGCTACATTGAAGGTACAATTGAGTACAGTCTTTTCCGAATGTGCAGACATATAATGTCAAACCTCGTGGAAACGGCAGGGGCCTGGAGATCAGGAGATGACAATTGGATTTCGCATGATATTTGCCTATCCAATTACACTGCAAAAAGTTCAGTGATGATATAAGCTCTTTCCTTCCCAAACACAAGTATGTAGCTACAAAGGAGAAGAAATCTGGACATTCTGTAGCCAGTTGGTTTATTCTTTTTTACCAATTCTATACTTACATTTGTTGTCAATGTTCTCATGCTGGTTCTCACAATTAACACTACAGTGTCACTAATTAAGACAACCATATTTCCTAAACAAAGTAGCAATTGCAGTCAATGTTCGTTCACTGGCAGTTTGATTAAATCAAGCAGGTTTGGTACTGAATCTTTTGAAATCACTTCTTTGAGTAGCAGCTGTCGTTAAGCTCGATGGTAAATCTTCCTTTAAAAACAGCGTCTAGCTTCAAACGGAACTTGAGGCTGAGATTCATCGAACTCTGGCAATTCTTGCTCATCACAACAATTTCTCTAATCTTGGTGGTTATGTGACGTGCTCATCCACCTTTTTGGCACTAATACAATTTTGCTTAAAAATGTTTCTGACATCCAGTTAACTTATATGTGCACGATCCTTCGCAGTAAAGCACTATTTAAGCAATAGTGAGAATCAGACCTGAAAAAAAATTCAGGCCTGTACGGGATTCGAACCACTGACCTCTGCGATACTAGTGCAGCGCTCTACCAATTGAGCTAACAAGCCAACTGGGAGCAGACCATCAAATTAATTCGACATAAACCCGTAGATGATAAATCAAACAACAAACATATATGTATTTCATATATATTTGTTATTTGATCCAGTTAACTGTTGTTGTACCTGTTCAGCATTTTCCCCCAGGAAATAACTCCAGTATTTAAACTTTGATGAATTAGCCACCCGTTAAGAGTCTGTCCACGAGAGGACCAGGCAGACGTGACACATTCCATCACACCGATTTTTTTAAACTTTCAAAGATTATAAGGTTAAAAAAGTTGTCCAAGAATCCAAAGTATTTTGGGTTCGTACTTAATCCCTGGGGTATGAGAGCTCTCATTTCAAATCCCGGGATAAAACCTAAAAATATGTTTGAAGATTGCACTTCCAACAGACAAGTCTCAAACTCATACTATGTAATGGATTTTTAATCTTCTTTGGTCCAAAAGTTATATCCCTTGGCAACCAGCGCTTTTATACTTTAGTTTAAATTGTTTTGAAGATTGCACTTCCAACAGACAAGTCTCAAACTCATACTATGTAATGGATTTTTAATCTTCTTTGTTCCAAAAGTTATAACCCTTGCCAACCAGCGCTTTTATACTTTAGTTTAAATTGTTTTGAAGACTGCACTTCCAACAGACAAGTCTCAAACTCATACTATGTAATGGATTTTTTATCTTCTTTAGTCCAAAAGTTATAACCCTTGGCAACCAGCGCTTTTATACTTTAGTTTAAATTGTTCTCCAGATTCGCTGCATGCGATGATTAATTTAGATGATAGATAGCCATTTTAAATGATAATTTTATGATAATTTTTTGATCATTTTAGATGATAGATAGCCATTTTAGGGCACAAATGGCCCTACTTCGACAATGAAAAAGGAAATGAGTGAAATAGCGCTCCAAATCAATGGATTTGTTCTTGGAAAACCTCACTATCATGGATTTTTGCGGGAAAAATGTCGAGTAAAGACCAGACCTGTTTTACATGATTCGTAGCTCAGCTACGAATCATGTAAAACAGTGTATTTTTCGTTAAACCACAAAACTGCTCCATTACAAACGTTGTAATGAGGGAACTCTGCGAGTTTTAGTGAAATGAAACGCTCCGTCGTGCTAGATAGTCTAGAAACACGTAAATTTAAAACAGGTAACATTTTCTTTTAGATGACAGGTGTGTAAAAAGTGTGTAATTCTTCAGTTTCATTTTGTGAAATTTTATCGAAGAGAAAACTTGTAGTGAGTTGATTTATACATACGCCTTTAATACAACTGTCCGTAGTTACTGCTTATTTTTCCTCTCTAGTCGTTGCAGCTTGGCCAGATTCTCCTTCAAGATTGTGTTTCCTGGATCCAGCTTGGCGGCGATCTCGTAATGGAGCCTGGCCTCTGCTCGGTTTCCCTACGAAGAAATGTAACCATAATTCCTATTGAAGCACTAGTGGTCATATCAAATTTACTGGTGCCTAGTTGGCACCACTGCCTACGAGGAATTTAATCATTTACTATTCTTTTTCATTAGTGAAAGGACCTTATACAGTGGCTTGTTCATATTTTTCTTCTTTTTTTTCTTCAACCATCAGAAAACGATGAAACGAACGCACAATAAAATCCAACATAGAATACCGATCAAGTTGGCACCCTTGCCTACTATGAATTTTATCATTTATTATTCTTTTTTTATTAGCAAAAAGGTACTTCTACGGAGGCTTGTTTATTTTTTCCTTCTTTTTTCTTTTCTTCAAATATCAGAAAACGATGAAACGAACAGACAAACTAAAATTCAGCTTAGTAAACATGTCAGAGAGTTCTCATTCTAACCTCGCGTTTCAATTGGTTGATGAACTTGCTGTCTATCATCACATAGACAACGGGGTCACCTGAATAACAGTAACAGTTTCTTTCAAATATTCTACAAAAGAAACGAAAAACGAGCTAGAATAACTACTAACCTCAAGGTGGAATATAACTCCAAGATTCAAATGAGCACTGAAAAGTTGTGGATCGAGCTGGACAGCTTTCGTGTAGCTCTATTTAAAAAAAAAAAACCTTTGTCTTTAAAAATGGAACGTTTTTTGATCGAGTCTCATAAAAATGAAGCAAATCTGCCGACCGTTAAAGAATAAAAAAAAAAACCTATGAAAAAAATATCGGAAACAACGATGACTTTGTTAGAAACGCGACGGTGGAGTGGTTAGTGCTTGGACTCCGGATGGGAGGGCCTGAGTTCGAACCCTGGGCGGGTTGTTGTATTGTTTTATTTTGGAAAACATTTTAAAATCCTCTATCAACCCACCACTGGTTGAAACTATTTTTCAGGAATAATTGATGATTAACAAATTATCAAAACGTTCCTGGAGAAATGGCAGCAATCTTAGTCACAAAACGGTCACATGACACTTTATCCCCAGGGGATCTCACATAGTAAACTGCAAATTAAAAGTTTCTGGTTCCTACCTTCTTGGCCTCTTGCATTTTGTTTAAATCTTTGTAAAAATTTCCCTGAAAATAATAAAGTTCCGCATTGTTGACATGGCGCCTAAGTGCGCTTGCGATAACTTGCAGAGCCTGTGAAAGAAAAGGGAGTATGGATAATTTTTCATTAGATGGTTTACCGTAAATCCTACGTTCACGACCATTTGCCTGATCGCCACTAACTAGACCAGTAGAAAAAAAGAGAAAACAGGAGATTGGGCCAAGAAAAAGTCACCACTTTTTTTTTTTTAAAACAAAGGAACTTGTCAGAGCTCGATAAGAAATCCAATAATAATTTATATGTGACGACGAAGAAGCCAAAATAACAAGAGCTACTTCTCCTTTGAGATCCTTCTTCCGTGCAAAACTCTGCACGATTTGCACACAAGAACGTTTTTGTTCGAGTTCACAATGCGGTTTCTTAATGGACATCACTGTTCTATCTTGTTGATCACAGAAATATATAAACCTTTAAGAGTAGCCAAATGCAATCTTGAAACATATGGATATAGAGCGTTCTCTCATAGAGCCCCTACTCTGTGGAACGCCTTGCCGGATGATATTAGGCAAGTGGACCTTTTAACAACATTTAAGTCTAAACTTAAAACCCATTTATTTAGGCGGTTGCAGTTTTTGCTTTCATTGATTTTTCACTAGTTTTTTAATTCACTTTAATTCTTAATTGATTATATTTTTCTATCACTATCATTGTAAAGCGGCGCTGGATCTTCGAGAAGCGTTGCGCAATATAAGCCATGTATTGTAAACCCCTACGAGCATGTGCTGCTATTGAAAATCGATCAAAACAAAGAATCATTTTCCAATACGAGTCGCGAAAATGAGATCGAGGCAATCAAAACTGCCAGTTAGAAAAAGAGACAAATATCATGGCGTGGGAAAAAGTGATTGGGTGTATCAATGCATCGATTGGCCAGGAGGATTGCACAAGTTTCGCGGACCACTCAAAGAAAGGTCTGTGGTCTAAAGGTCCCTAAAACAACTTACTTCATTCCATTGTCTGTTCTGAGCATACATTCCTGCTAGCGTCTTATAATTTCCGGGGTTCTGAGGATCATCTAGAACCAAGCCCTTCATGACACCAACGGCCTGATGGAGTCGGTTGGTTTGTCCGAGAAGAATTGCCTGTAGATAGAAAACAAATTTTCCTATATGTCTTGATGGAACAAACAAAAATGTAGTTGACTCTATCAAAACTTCGTTGCTTGCACACAGTAGGAATTTCTCCAAAATGTAGTAGCTATAAAAATAACTTTCAATTTATGATACCGCAGAATTTTCATTGTGAAGATCAACAGAGAAAATATATTTGCTACAGCCCAAACGTGAACCAACATACTACCACAACGGAGTTAGAAGTCAACAACGCTAAGGCACACTTAAAAACACAATTACAGTTACCCTCAACCCATTAATTGTTGCATAGTGGTCAGTGCTTCGCTCATGAAATGTAAATGTCACTCACATAATTCGAACGAGTCTCAGTATTCGTTGGTTCAAGTTCGAGTGATTCTTTCCAGGCCAGTTCCGCTTCTTTCAACTGCTGGTTGTGATAATACAGTACTCCGAGCAACTGTAATGTGCTTGGGTCTCGTCGTATTGACAAAGCTCTGCAGCGGCCAGAGATTAGATGCATGTAGGTTAGTTTACCAGACGCTGTTCGGGAAATGAACCAGCGATCCTCCGCGAAAAATGTATCGGAGATCGCAATTGGAGTAACAGCGAAAATCAAGTCCGCAGATTAGAACTTAATGCATAACAAATAGGTGAACTTACAATTTTGTGTCAAATTATCTAACTTTTGTACGAATGTGGACACAGGCATGCCTTTTTAGAAAGCTAAGAGCCTGTTGTTCGCTCCATATGGACCGACAGCTTTGGGGAAGGAGGAACTCGGAGTACGTAAATCAACGAGACAGGATGATTATGGTCTTCAAACAGAAAGAAAGATGACCTCGGGAAAGATAATGCTACTGCTCACACTGAAATTTCAGATATAAACCCTATAGAGAAGACTCCACAGTTTTCAAAATATTTTTCATTTACGTCAAATAATCTTAAATGTTCCGTACTTGTTCTATGCATGTCAGTGCATACCTCTTGTAAGCTATTTCTGCATCCTGAATTTTTCCATCTGCTCGCAACTGCCGAGCCATGTTAACTAAAGTCACTGTGTGATTAGGGTTGAGCTGTAGAGCTTTGTTGTAATTTTCCAAGGCTCGCTTCGTTCGACCTAACAGAGAAAAATAAGATTTAAAGCTGGTAGATCAAAGACCGTATGGCTATATAATCGCGAGAATTCCCTATGGGCATACCTGCGCACGTTATATTACGATTACAACATAAACGAAAGAGTAATAAACAACTTAAAAATACACAAATAAATAAATAAACAAATTTAAATAAATTTGATTTTGAGAATGGCACATTGACGAGACTACTATTGCAGTTGTATTTCACTGTTTCTTGTTCAAACTGGGAGAAAACTGGAGGACCGCGAAAAAACCTAGGATCAAGGATGAGATCATTATAACAACAAACGTAACGCATATGTGATTCCATGTTCAAGAATCAAACCCGGGTCGAAGCGGTGCTTGGAAAAGGTTACCTGATTGAACATGCTCTATAATGATAACTCGAATTAAAAAAAAAAAAAATACGTACAAGAGTCACCCACTCAGTTACTCCCAAATACTTTTAAAATTAATGCAAACTGAGATTAGAAACTCACGTAACTAGCAAATAATTGCTTTCATTAATCTTCATATAATGTTTCAATATTCTTCTTAGCGATATTTCAGACAGGCAAAACTCTCTTTTTCGGTTTGGAGACCAAAAATGACCATTTGTAATACTGAACTGTGATATTCTGATTATTATGGCCACCGATTACACCTTAGCTAGATTATCACATTATTCAAATACTGCCACCAATTCCTCACCAATTTTACCGAGAAATACGGCATAATTGTTGTGAGCGTCGCCGTTTCTGGGCTCCAAAGTCAGCGCTTTCTTGTAAAACTCCTCAGCCTCATCAAACTTCTCTTGATCACTGAGCACACCAGCCACATTTAAAACTGCATCTAAATACCTTGGATTCAACCTGACAAAAAGGATCATTTCCAAAACAAGATTATTTAAATTAGTATTTAGAGACTTGCAAAAAAGACAAAAAAAGAGTGAAAAAAAGTGTAGAAAATGGTGTTTAGCAGCGAAATCTTTGAGCGGATGACTGTTTCTCTCGTTTACCTGATGGCCTCTTTAAGCACTGTTTCGGCCTCTGAGAGACGCTTTAATGACCTTAAAAAGGAAAAGCATGTGATGAGTTCATAACTCACGGATTAAAAATTTGTCGCTGTTCGGAATTTCAAACCACATTACCAACCAGGCAAGCAGGTACACAGACGTAGAGACGGATGAATACAGGATAGGTGGGTAAGAGGGCGGGTGTAAGAATGGAGAGACAGACAGACAGACAGATGGACAGGCCGATAGACAGAGCGTTATGCAGACAAAAGACAGACAGACAGACAAACAGAACACTGACAGACTGACAAACAGGAGACGAACAGACAGACAAACAGACAGACTGATAATCACCTAATCAGTAACGTAAATCAGTTGCTGTGTGCCACTGTGTGCCGAGACGAGATCAACTTCCAGACCCCTCTAAAGTAAAAGTGAATTCAATCTACTTACGTCAAACGGGTTCCAAGATTGAAGTACGAGTTTGCATGATATGGATCATTCTTGATGGCTTCAGAAAAGTGCTGCATTGCTTCCTAATCGGGTAAAAGATATATCTGTTTAACCCATTAACTCTTTAGAGTGACCAGCATCTAATTTCTCCTTACAATATCAACCCTGAATCACACATTTAGGTCAGGAGAATAAAGGAATTGATCATCAACAAAACCTCTTGAATGTTAAACGCTTTCTCCTTTTCAGTACTTTAGAAAATGTATTAAGAACAGTATGGAGAAAATGCATACTGGTGTTAGGGTGAAAATGGTTAACAGTCGGTGCACTAAACGCTGGCTTTTCTGGCCAAGGTCAATGTGTTGTATTCCCGTGGAAGACTAAACAGTGTCACTCACAGTGCCTGACTCCTCCGAGGACTATAAATGGACACCAACTGACTGTCAGAGAAAGCTGACAAAAAGCCACGGGGGAGGGAGATAACGTAGGGGGGAGGGGGGGTAGCGACACTCCTACTTGCTTCATGCTATAGAACCCAGGACAGTGCCTCTATTCTCAGGAGTATACATGGAAACCAGCTGACGGTCAGGGAAATGCTACGGTGGGGGAGTGGGGAGGTGTGCCTTGTCAGCGACAGGAATCCCATCCAGGAAGGGTAGAAACACTTTTACTAGCTTCATGCTCTAGAACCCGGAGTTAGTTTGGACATAGTGGGCCAAGTGTCTCAGGTGTACGACCAGAAAATTAGTAAATCATAATTTCAAGACGAATGCTTGGAATGCTTTCATAAGTACACATCTACCTGATCGTTTTCCAAAAGGGTACCGAGGTTGTTATGAGCACTGACATGATTCGGTGCCAACCTGATTGAGCAAAAATAGAAGGTCGTTACATCCTTCAATTTGGTTTACTTGTTTCAGTTATTTCCAAATTACTGACGTAACATCAATCTCAAGTTAAACAAGCATACGGTTGGACAATACACGTAATTTGTGTGTGCTGTTAGACAGACTATTGGTTGATTTTTATGTGAAAAAAAATTCAACTTCAGCTTCCCTCATTAAAACATTTTCACAAGATATTTAGACCCTAAAAAGTTGACAAAGAAGAGTTGAAACTCACCTAAGTGCAGTTTCATAGTGATATATGGCCTCTTTAGCCCTTCCAGCATCTTTTAGAAAATTAGCAAAGTTATAATGTGCTTTAGCATTATGAGGAAGAGTTTCAATTCCAGACCTGAAAAAAAAGAAAAAGAAAAAGAACTAAGTGTTCGTGAACCTCAGACTCATAGTGTTACTATGATGCACCGCGGGTGTGCAGCGACACGGAGCAATCACGCGTACCTGTTTTAACAATTTTGACCGAGAAAAAGTTTGAGATGATTTCTGACCATCTCTTCCTTGGCAAACATATCACACAGAAATGAAGCGCCGTTACAAAATGAAAAACTCTACAACATCTCTTGCCATTTTTTAAACTCAAAACCACACATTTTGTATTACAAAAGTAGGAAAACTCTACAGAATTCCAATGTTTTTTCTTCCGTCATTTTATTTTCAAGAAATGCTAGGTCTCCTTCCTCTGGACTGTTTTATTGCAAAGATCACCGCACTCTGAGTAACAAGTTGCTGTGACATGGAGAAGTTAACAGGTCACCAAGGCAATAATCGCTACTTGCGACAAGAGCAATTCTTGTCACAATTCGCTGTCCCAGCGAGAGGATTTTGTTTCCGAAACACGTCTCACTAATCCAAGGTGAAGTGAATTCACACACTAATCCAAGGTGAAGTGAATTCACGTGTTAATGTCAGCTGTACTTGTTTGGAAGGAAATACACATGAAGCGTACTTGAGAATCAATGCAGCAACATGTCGCTTGACATGAATCACCTTGCATTCGTAAATCTCAAAATTTTTCATAATTTTACCTGAATAAGGCCTCCCTATTGCTCCAAACGCGATTCCGCACCACAGTTTTCCAGCAGAAAAGTCCTATTAACACAAATACCCCTGATAATAAAACCTTATGCAGGAGATTCATTCGTACTTCTGTACATCTATCTTTCATTGCCACTTTACCATTGGCTACCAAAACCGATGCCAGTTTGTTGAACCCACAAACAACGAGCATACAAAAGCCCATGCTACAAGATAAGAGAAAGCAGAGATTTATCAATATCACTGCAAATACATCTTGCTCAGTGAAAAAAGGTCTACACAATTAGTAATTATCATTAACGGAAATACCTCTGTTTTCTCTATTGCCACATGAGTTTAAATTGCTCTTGCAAGTTAACATAACTTTAAAAGCATTCATTTAATTTCTTTAGTATTATTAGCTTTTTTTTGCATTAGGTTTTTATCATATCTTGATTTTGCTTTGTTTTGTTTCTTTCCTTTTTTTCCTCAATATTCTATTTCACCAATCAAACAGGTTAAGTTTACTTTAAAGTATATTTCCATGGTCAAGGTAGCCTTTTTTGAGTCCACCGAACGCCGTCAAGTCACATAAACAAATCAAGTCACGAAAGTCAAATCCCGTCACGTGAAGTCACGTCAACACACGTCACTTCGCCGGCGCCAAATCAAAGAGGGGGGAAGGGGGTTATTGCGTGATACGGGATAACATGATTTTTAATTTTCGTGACCCGTGAAAATACGAAATTAAAACCTCGTGAACTGTTAATTTTTGGCTTTTCGCGACACGTGAAACTTACAGTCGTACATCTCACTTTTCGTGATGCGTTATTTCAACTTTTTGATATTCGTGAAACGTGCGCAAGACCCTTTTAACCCTCTTTTAGCCCCCTCATCAAATGACTTTAAGTCTGGTTAGGATCTCGTGATATTTGTGTCTTCCAGTTAAAGTACTCTCTGTGACATTGCATAGCATACCTTGGTATGTAAAGTATTCTCTCAGCAACAACAAATCCAACTCTGAAGAACAGGTTAGAGGCCGGAAGGAAAGGAATACCCAACATGGCCAGAGATAAAACAAGAACATCTTGATCACGTGACTACCGAGAAAAAATAGAGAGCTCTGTTATCAGATATCAACTCATTATCCATACAATACAATACAACAATACAATACAGTAACTTTATTTAAACTTGAATTAAAGATAGCAAATACTTGCTAATATCTCCAAGTAAAGATATTGAAATTACTAAAATACAATAATACAATAAAAGAAAATTAAGTAATATATACATGCATAAATAAATTTATATGTATAAATAAATTTAAATGTGACTAATAAGTTAAAAATTTAAAATATTATTTACTGCAAAAGGTACAACAGTCAATGTCAAATTTCATTTTGGAAATTTCCAATTTACATTTACTTAATTCAGGCATCGATCTCATGTAGTTAGGAAGAGAATTCCATAAGTTACTGCCCTGATAAACAAGAGAGTGAAGACCATAAGTAGTAGTGTTTACTCTAGGTACAGTAAGAATATTGTAGCCTCACATACCCCCTTGAACTCCCAAGATCTCGTTGGTGAGTCTCCTTATTCTCTGTGATTCAATTCTTATGATGCTAATTTGGAGAATTTTGTACAAAATCAACCAAAAATCTGCTAATTGATATTCTCCTTTGTTTTCATCACTTGTCTGCTTGATATTGTATTGATATTGTAACGTCTAAATGYTTKKT